GTTGTAAACTGTGAATAGTAGAGTTGATTGGGGGGCCAACTCTATAGTTGCTTTATAATTCTATTAATCAGCAAATTGTATGCTGCAGCTACTGTATGGGTAGTAAATTTTGAGGGTATAAAATTTCGCGTATATGGTGAAAAGCTCTTAATATTTTTATTTCGAGGGGGTTAAATTTTGCATTTTTGCACGTGCACCTGCATTAAGTCATAGATTTTCGCATGCTACGCATGCACAGTGAGCTTTTCTGTAGTATTAATTTTCATGGTTAACAAGTCACTCACAAAATCCGCGAAATTAAATACCCCACAGAATTTTATACCTGTACAGTATTGTGTTGTACTGCTATAAAGTGCTATTTCATTGGCCATTTTTATTGTTCATTGTGTTTCTAGTTTTGCTGATTGTAGTTTCAATGATATCATGCAATATCCTGTGTTACCATGGATACTAGCTGATTACACTAGTACTACCCTAGGTAAGGATCTAACCATTAATTAATTAATTATTTTATTTCTTATTAGATCTAACAAAACTGGATGCATTCAGGGATTTTAAATGAAGAGAGAATAGCATTCTTTAAAGTACATGAATATAGATCAGAATTTAGTATTAATTAATTAATATTTTAATTGAAAGGATCGTTATGCTGAGATGTCTGGAAGGAAGTTTCTCTATGGCACTCACTACTCAGCACCTGGTTATGTACTGTACTATCTAGTCAGAACTGGTTAGGAAAACCTGTTTATCTTGTACCTCCACCTTCTCCCCCTCCCTCCCTCCCTCCCCCTCACTAGTCCATCAGTGTGCTCCAGTGTATCCAGTATCACAGGTACAGTCAATTGTCATAGCAATGCTCAATAGGTTTTTTGAATAATTTTATTAGTTTTTACATAGATATTAGAGTTAAAAGGAAATTTAACTTAAAATTTAAGTTTCCTTTTAACTCTAATATCTATGGTTTTTATCACTGCGAATATAACCCGACCTACAGTAATAATACATGTATGATATGGGTGTTATACATTATACATGTACATGTAAATCTTAAATTTTTAATTTGATATTTTTGTACTAATACCTAGCCTTGTTAATATTAAAATTTTGGTGCTATACAGTACTGAAGTATTTTAAAGTATAAACCTGTTTATATAACTGGTTTTATTCCTTGTTACAGTGATCATGACTCACAGTACAGGTGTGCCAGGAAGGTATCAACAGTGATATGTGTCCATGATGTACAGTGTCTTGAACCTGATTGTAATAACCACGGGTCATGTGACATGGGGGCGTGTTCATGTGAGTCACCATGGACCGGAGATACTTGTGGATCTGTTAACTGTTCACTGACTGATTGTAATGGACACGGAATATGTATGGAGGGTAAGAGGAAATACATGTACTGTCCTTAGTACATTTTCTAATACATAATGATGTTCTTATGCTGTGTAGAAAGTTTGAGGTGATTCCGACTTCAATTTTTCAAGTTACAGCCATTTTAAGAAAATGGCCAAAATCTGAAAAATACCCAAGGCTATAGCCCATGGTTTTTCCCGAAAAATGGCTCCAAAATTACCCCAAATTTTTATTACATTTTCTGATGCATATTGATGTACTTATGATGTGTAGAAAGTTTGAGCTGATTCTGACTTCGATTTTTCAA